TTACCAGTCCTCATGATATTATGACAGAACTCAACGCTCCAGGATTTCCTGTAAGAAAATCCAGCAATTCTCTAGGAATTCACAAGGAACTAAAGTTATGCTTCCTGTATGAAAGAAAATGTCGCAGGAAGAAGTTCTTGTAAATTTAAAACTATTTATAGCTCTGGTATGCTCAGGCTAGAATCACTATAAAACTGAGAAGTACCTCGACCGGCCCCCAATGGTGTCTGACGCAATTTAAACTCTGGTTTCGTGTGGTTTTCATTAGCATTCTATGTGAGCTTTCTCTTCACATGATCGTCCAAGGAGAGAATGTCCTGGAATTACCTTCCATGATTTTATTGTTATATCCCTGGGGTATAGGGTCGCTGCCTCCCAAGCATTAGGAAACAAGTCGAGTAGACCGACTATCTTTTATCAATTCCGTTATATAGCTTCTTTCATTTCCATTAGTGTATTCTTAGTGAATACAGATCTGACGCCGACTTATTTTGATTTTTTATATGGATTTCCGTAATCTCAATTGACTGTTGCAGAATCTTTCACTGATTATTTAACTATTTGCATATTCGACTCGTGACATCTTCAAACAAATTTCTTCCAGATTTAACTATGATCTGAAGTTACGTCTTTTTATATCAAAGATTTTATTAAATCTTTTGCTGTTTTCCAAAAGGGAAAAGAATAAAGAAAGGAAGATGAACTTTTCGCCCTATGCAACAGTCTGCGCTGCAAAGTATGCTGTGTTTGCTAATGATGGATACAATTTCCAAAATTTACTACACAAAGATTAAGAAGTATAAGGATTTCTCTGGCTGTGGTGATAAATGTACGCGTCCGTTTCTTATGGATGAACCTGGATGTCAGGTATCAAAGCTAGAACATAGATAAGGTATTTGTGACTCCTCAAGAAAGAAAATATTTTATGCTCTCAAATCGCATAACCACATAGTAATTTCCAACGATATATATCATTTTCTGTAAAAAGTAATTTCTGTAATAAACCGAACTCAAAGCAAATGACGAATAATGAATTTTAAGGCTGGAAATGTTGACCTTCCTGATCCAGGCACAGTTTGAACATGAATGATGGATAACAAACATTCACTGCAAATTATTATAACTCGGTCTTGATGGAAGTTGATTATTTCATTGTTTATATTTTTTTTCACTGCGTCAAGAGTTCGTGGATTGATCTGGTAGCCGTTGCCTTTCAGGTTGGTCCACAAATAAAAATATGTACTATAGTTAGACTACGCGACCGTGAAGGCCATAATAGATCCTTCGAAACAGATGTGAAAACTGAGTTTCTAGAAGGCGTACGTTATCGCGGTGTCCTGTTTTCGGATATACTAACTCTTTTCGGTTTCCTCTCTGCTATGTTCGGTTCGGTTTATCTTCGGTCACCTTGTATTTTTCACAATGTTGTATCATGTAAAAGTTTGCATGCTTTTACCTTCAAGTAGGATATTACTCTGATATTGTTCTTTTGCTTGCACAGTAAGTTATTGAATGTGTTTCTTTTTTTTTTTTTTTTTTTTTTTTTTTTTTTTTTTTTTGTAATCTGGATATTTCATCACTTGTAAAATAAAATTTAAATGAGTTGTTGAAATCATTTAAGTGCTTTTATATATTTTAACAGAGCATATTTTTTACAATAATATGATACAATTCAAAAAATTATTGGAGGTGTTAAGGCACCAAGTATCAGCATAATATTCATAAATTTACAGGACTAGTTTGGAAGGTTCTCTATTTAAACCTTCGAAGCCAGATCTGCAAATTTGTGAATATTACGCTGATCCTTGGCGCCTTAACACCTCCGATAACAGTTCTTCGACGAGTAATTTTAATATAAATTCAAAAAGTGTTTACCGAGTTATGAGAATGGGAAAAGACCAATTTCACATTAAAAGGCTACAGAATTAAGTCAGATGACTTTTTAAAAAAAATTTTTATATTGCAACTTTTCTGCTGTTTTCTGATAATCCTTTGTTTATCTACTTATAGATGTCCCTTACATTCAGGACTTCACAGTTAATTCTGCTACTGCGTTTAAAATTCCATTTATCAGTTTTAAAAGACAGCATAATTTCCAATTTTAGATGTAAGGCATTATATTCATGTTTATTTATTGCTTTTATTTGTCTGTATATTATGAAACGAAAGTACTATTTATTTCTCTTTTCCTGTAACTCTAATATTATCATGCAGTTTCTAAAATTATCATGCCCGGAATTAAAACGGGGAAAAATTGTATTCATCTTAAGTAGCTTTGATGGGTGAAATTTTATTAAGAGTTTAAACTCTTCATGCGAGACAATAGCCTCTAGTATTAATCTTTTAAGTTTTATCTCTAAATCGCTAATTTTCTAAGTGGGAAGACGCGACGACATCTAAAGGGGGGGCGCGGGCCGGACGAACAGTACTGCGCCGCTCGTACCCACGGCCCCACCCACGTCATCTCGCAGCGCTGCCTTTTAGTTGGGCCATAGAACGTGTATGCTAAGAACGAAAACGTTTCTAAGCAAGTGCAGGAGTGGCTGCATCAGGTCGCAGAGGGAAAATGTACTCCAAGTTTACTTTACAGGAGCTATCCATCCAGCCTTAGTACTTTTTTTGCGCATGCGAATCGGCAAATACCTGTCGAAGCAAATCCACCCCTGATACCTTTTTGCGCATACTCGAAATAGTAGTCGAGTCATTGTCCTAGGTCAAAGGTCACTTTTGTCAAGAGTTCAAAGTTCTGTGATAGCGCTCTGTGTGAATTCTGAATACGCACGTCATGTGCACTTTTCATGCGTAAATAAACTGCCGGCTTGTTATTTTATCCTTATTCATGAATTCGGCGAAAAAACGCAAATACAGGGATGATTATATTAAATATGGTTTTGCTTCTTTACAAAAAGATGGTGTCGGCCAGCCGCAATGTGATATTTGTTACGAAGTATTGAGCAATGATGCTATGAGACCTTCTCGTTTGGAACGACATTTGTCGACAAAACATAGCGCCTTAAAATACAAGCCAAAGGGGGTTTTGTCTGCAAAATGTGCAAATTTGAAGCTTCTGGAATTGTATAACTCTGGATCCTTTGCTCAATCATCAGAAAAAGCGCTCGAAACTTCATAGGAGTTATCTCTACTCATCGCCAAGTCATATTATCAGAGAAATACTCGTCAAACCTTGCCAGTTGAAAGCAGCTGCTATTGTTCTTGGATTGGTAAGTAAACAGAAGCTTTCACAAATACCACTTTCTGACAACACTGTTAAACGTCGCATTGATGATATGGCCGAAGACATAAAAAACCAGTTAGTGCAGTCAGAGAATCAAATTTTTTCGCAATACAGTTAGACAAGAGTGCAGTTGCAAAATATTGTCAACTGTTAGGTTTATACAAAATGAAACAATTAAAGACGAGATGTTGTTTCCTACAAAGTTCATGACTACCTCAAATGCAATTCAAGAATCTCTGAATTCTTTTGAAAAATCTCTAAATTTTTTTTACAACAGTTTCTGAATTCTTTTGAAAATATGAACTGTCATGACAAAAGCTGATAGGCGCATACGGCCCTCCATCAGTGCTTGAATCTAGCCAAGATTCCAGATTCGATCAGAGAAAAAAATCCGAATGTTAGAGCTATTCAATGTGATTTGTTATACATCGTCAAGCCTTGGTAGCTAAGATTTCAATGATGTCGTAAAATTATGCATGAAAATTGTATTTCATGTTTTAAAAGGTGTGCTTTAAATACTCGACTCTTTACGACCTTTGTGAAGATTTGGCAACAGACCATAAAGTAGTGTTATTTTATATGGAAGTGCGCTGGCTCTCAAAAGGAAACATGTTAGCAAGACTATTTGAACTTGGAGATGAAGTGATTCAATTTTTGGATACTCAAAATAATAACGGGGGAACTAGGAAGTTTTATTTTTGGCAGCAGGGAAGCGTGACAAAAAAAAAAAATTTTTTTTGGGAACCCATGTTCTAAATGATGATTTAAACTATAAAGAAACTAGTTTAGTTTTATTAGATTACGGCAAAGCACTCGAGGGCTATCTGCCTTAAGGGAGGGATGCCTCCGGGGAGGACTTTCTAAGGGAAACTGGCTCGTATACACGTTACACATGGGGAAAACCACAAAACGCCCATGCAGCTAGCCCCTTCGCGGGATTCGAACCTCGGACCGAACTACCGGTGTTCAGCGACGTTACCGCTCGGCTGCTGGTGGGCATAAAGAAACTAGAATTAGATCAACATACGTATATTATTGCAGTTTCTCAAATTTTCCTGTTCGCCTCTTTTCAGAAATTTTCTTAGTTCTTAGTTCGTCTTTGAGCTTTTAATCCTATCCTTGCAAAAAATTATATATTAGATGTTTCCAGAATCTTATCTGTATGTACTAATTGAATATCGTTAAAATTTTAGGTGTTTATTGCAACTCCATTAAATAAATATCTAAAACTCATTATGCAGTGTGGAAAAAAGAAACACAATGGTAACGATTAAAGACTTCTGAAAGCATTTACAAGCTTAAGAAACCAGATTCGCATTTTCGATGTTTTAGGAGATCAGTACAGTTGATGCCCGTATGAATTAAACACATTAATAACTCAAAGCAATGTATTTCTTTATTTAGTTGTCATTTCTAAGAAGAATTTAGCTGTGGCCTTCGGAAAATTTGCGCTCTGGGCGACTTCTTAAGTTTTCTATGCTTGATGCCAACCCTGTGATTGTCGTGGGGCGAGTTGGGCCCTTTCTGTTCAATTTAAGATCAAATAAAAAATTATTTCTCACTTGCTTAAGACTGAGTGATAACTTGCCAGCAGTCTATAAGACTTAAATACAAGTTCCCAGTTTCAGTACAACTCTACGTTAGAGTCCCCACGTCGCTATTAAGTTGGCTCAGAATTTTACCGATGTATTTTAGAACATCAGCTACCTAAACGCTGAAGCCGGAATACAAATTAAAAGCAGAGCTGGTGATAAAAATAATAATAAGATACGGCTGCCATAATTTCTAATCTAAACAGTCGAAAACGTCAGCTTAAATACACAAAAATTTGCATTCTGATAAGAAATACAGAAAGAAATTATGATAAAGACTTAGATCATAATAATTGGTTAAATAAAATAAAATATCTTACAAAGTTATCATTGCTTATTGATGTACGTTCACGTAGAACGTTCTACGTGTTCTACGTTCACGTAGAACGTAGAACAAACCTGTCTACGGGAAATACAGAAAAGGAAAAAAAATTATTAGGATAGCATATGATGTGTGTCAGATGAACTTCGTCCCAAAATAAAAATGCTCCAACCACTCTTTACCCGACCGATAGCGGTTCAACAGCATACGCACATCCGACCGGCCGCTCAGCCGTAGAGATTCTCCCTGTTCTGAATACTGTCAGGAAAATCTGATAAATCGTCTAAATAAAATTCTTCAGTACCATTTTTTTCGCTCATCGTGAACGGTAATTTTTTTCAAAACGGTGTGAAAATGTGGGAGTTTACAAAGCAACGTACTTAATGCAAGTGAGCAATCTACACTGCACGAAAAAAAAAAAGGGGGGGACAGTTGTATAGCTTCCGTTCTGCTGGACCGATTGACAAAATTCAAATTGCGGTTTTCATGTCTCGAAATCGCGACTTAGGATATATATTAGATTTATTTATAGCATTATTCATATAGTACAGATATTTTAACTCGGACTTAAATTCGGAAATAACATACCTTTTTTTTTTTCCATATTTCGGTTCTACGACTCAAATTATGCCTAGATATTAAATTTTGTAAAATTTGGTGCGAAATTTACGGAGAAATTCAAACATTTATCTTGACGTAATGTTTTCAGTTTTCGCCAAGAATAATTCACTTAGCGAACATCTTACTACATGACAACCAATTTTCCCTTCCCTTCCATTATGCTGAAGCGTAAAAAAAGACGCATCGTTTCTACTTAAAAATAATTTTAGCAAAGTGTTCTAAGCCACATTTGATGTTTTATCGCTTTCAGGAAATATGCCAAATTTCAAAACGCGCCAATATTCACGTATATCTTCGGAAATTTTGAATAAAAAAAACTCTTTTTTTTTTTTTTTTTTTTTTTTTTTTTTCAGGTATGCTTAGAAATAGGTCTACTTTAAGTGGGTAAAAATTTTATAAATTATAATTAATTTTTTTAGAAAATTCATAAAAAATATTTAAAATACAAATTTTTAAAATAAATCATAAATTGGGTAAATTTATTTTGAATGAACAATTCGAAGTGTGAAAAGAAGAATAAATAAGTTTAATAAAAAGGGAGATTAATAAATATATACCAAACTCAATAACATTGAGGAGCTAAAATTTTGAGTGCTATTTTTTAAAATTACTCGTGCGATTTGACAAAACTGGTATTTTGGGTAATTTGAGTCGTAGAATTGAAATATGGAAAAAAATTGGTATGTTAGTTCATAAAAAGTCTAATTTTGTGCCAAAATATTGGTATTAAAACAATGCTATATATAAATCTAATACATATTCTAAGTCGCGCTTTCGAGACATGAAAAACGCAAGTTGAATTTCGTCAAACGGCTCAGTAGAATGGTAGGTATAGAACTGTCCCTTTTTTGGCGATAAAAAGCCGATTAATAGACTATCGGTCGGTGGGCTTTGGCGAAAAAAAGCCGATTAATAGGCGATGGGTCGGTAAACGTTGGCGATAAAAAGGCCGATTAATAGGCTATCGGTCGGTAGGCGTTGGCGATAAAAAGCCGATTAATAGGCGATCAGTCGGTAAAGTATTAATTTCTCTTGCTCTTTCTTATTGTACGTTAATGTCATTTATAACTAATAAATTTTCTTCATTTCTAATTATATTTATTTCCCACTATTGGGAGTATGTATTTGTTAGCCCAGAAAGGCTATTAATTTCGTTTTCGCATTTTGCGTTGATTCACAACAAACGGCGAATCACTTTTAAATTGTTGCCACCAAATATTAGAGCCCGGATTATATTAAAGAAATTAAATAAAGAATCTGCAAATGTAGATGTTTCTTGCACTGTGATAAAAACAACGGTACCTAGACATCAAAATTTGAATAACGTAAGTCTCACC